CCGTCAAGGTTTGTCAAAAATGTGGGTTGTGTTTGTGACCTTCCTCTGTTTATTGTAAAGTTGTAGCCTCGGTTTTAACCTATTTTGCATCAAATATAGCTGAAATTCGAAAATATATGATAAATTCGATCATTACTAGTACCTACCCAGGACCCAATCTGCATCAAAAATTTTTAAATCAATTTCTTTAACAAATTCCAAAGTGTACTTTTTTGCTACGATCTAGGTGCGTTTAGATTTTTTGAACAAAGGACGTACTGTAGAACTTTTCTATACAGTTGATAGTTGTCAAAATGTAACCATTACAATATTAAAAAAATTGCGGAATGTAATTTTCGACCCCGTAGGACTGAATGAAATTCTAAGTTGCCAATTCTGCTAAATATCCTTCCAATATCGATTAACAAAACCTCGAAGCCTTTCAGGGTGTATAATTACTGTATGCATTAGTTTTTCAATTGTTAATCGAGCACTCGTCAATGTTTTGTTCAGATAGTCCCAGCAAAACCTAAAAGCACTTCGGACCGGAGGGAAAAAAATTCTGAATTTGTTAAAAAAAGATTGTCCAATTAATTCTCCTGGAATACAGTACCTACTTGAATGAAAGCTAAATGCCCCCACCCATCTCATTATGCATAGACCTGCTGACGCCCAATCATGGAACTGCAGTTGTGTGCAGTGGCTGTGCGTTTGGTGGAACAATTCGCTAGTTATCAGAACGTAAGTGTTACATTATGTTTATTTATTCCTCATTTCATTTCTTTTTGGTCCATATGTACTTTGGTAATCTACGTTATATTTTTGTACATCATAATTTCAAAAATAATAAGATTATGGCTCAAAATTGACTATAAAGCATCTTATCTACCATACATCATGTACGCCAATTTTAATATGGTAAAGGACTATTTCGGGGTTTAAAAAGAATGTAATTTTTTATTTTCTTTCATTTTTGATGACCAGACATTTTTATTAGAGCCAAAATAGTATCTGAAATCGATTAATATTCATTCTTACAAGATGGCTGCCAAATGTGCTTAGGTGTCAAGATTTATAACAGTCCTCTACCATACCTGAATCATGTGCACGGTGCATGGAAGTTTCTAGACCAGTTAAATAAAAAAAAACGCATAAACCTAAATCTATAACCCCTGCTGAGTCAAATAGGCGCATACAGGGGTTTTTCTCCGGGTAGATCCCGCCGCCATGTTGAAATACTCAACTGCCTGAGAAGTACATTTGATCGATTTATTGAAAATGCGGACATCAGCATCAGTGCTGCTGCCCTTGTGACAAAAAAATATTAGTGAACTTCAAGTACCCTGTTCACCTCTTCCTTCCTGTCGAACCGTCAATGCAACTGTCACTTTCACGCTAAAGCAAAATCATACATCAATCTTATCGCACCGAATTTCGGCTTACTAACTTCACCCGCTAAAAAATAAGTAGGAATGACATTTATCATGGAAAGCACTATATTTTGGTCCGCAAGCATCTTTTATGTATTCAGAAAAATATAATTCTGGTTCAACTCACGTCCCGGTAGCGTTTTAACAGAAATAACATCACTGCATGTACCTGCCGAAGTTATGACTTCTATTGTGAAAATGCCAGACAGTGTGTCAGATGTTTGTAAAGTCGAGAAATACAGTACTTTTTTTTAAATACTTTTTGAACGGATTGAGTTAGCATGCTGAAATTTGGAACAATGGAATTGATACATGAATACTATATTGTGAACATGGCAGTTGAAAATTGCATGGCAGGTTGTCAAAGTTGAGCTTCTACTTCCCGCCCCTGAGTGACGGCGGAGAAAATGCCAATAACAACAACAACAAAAAAACACTCAGACTTCGTTTTTGGACGTTTCAGACAATCTTTTCAAACTTTTTTGTCAGAAGGCCAACTTGTGCCAAACGTAAATCTTTGCGAACATTGTAGAGTGGGAAGTACAAAGTCAACCTACTTGACGCCATTTTTTCAATGGCAAAATGACATTCCTTCCAATATTTTTTGTGGCTTTGAAGTCCTAGAAGGCCCCCGCCCACTCGCACTCAAGTTCTATATACGCCACTGACATACCGCTAATTCAGCCTTTGCCGTGTGATTTCTGCCGTCTTATTTATCTCATTTAGCTCTTTCTGTTGTTTAACCGACATGTAAAAAATTCTCAGTTCTGGTACCGTTAGAGAAACAAGTGATAACTGACTTGCTTGCAGTGGCAAAATTCGCAACGGCGGACGCGATTTGGGTGAGTGATGAATTTTATATATTTATTTCAGACCATCTCTTACACGATTGATGTTTGTGCATTAAATAGTTTTCATTATTTCGTGATTCATGTGTATCTTTTCACTATATACAGGGTATTTCAAATTCTACCCTCACCATTGGGATCTCGGAAACTGTAATAGATTCGAAGTTGTCCAAAAGGGGCCAAAGCTGCATATTTATGTTGTTGACAAAATGCCGCTCAGAAAGTTTCGAAATTCAAAGTACTGCCGGAGAGAGAAGAAAAACCGAATGTTCCCAAAATAGTTCAGATTTTTTTCTGACTTTATTTGTAGTGGCATCTCGAAACATGTTGCACATTTACATTGCCATTTTTCCTCATCGACAAGATGGCATAATTAGAATTTCAATACGACGTTTCGTCTCTTGTCCTCCAGCATCAACTTTATTTTTTCTCATGTACGCCACATATTGGATTTCTGGCACAGATAAATATAAATTTTGATTCTGATGCCAAAAACGTATAATACGTCATACTTTGACGTTACCAAACCTTGATTATTTCAAAAAGCAGAATTTCCTAGGTGGGTCTTGAAATTATCAGATTGTCATTTGTTTCTCATACCAGATTTATACCAAAACCTAGATTTAATATATATATATACATATATAGGGTCTTCCTTAATGAATATTTAAGTGTGTGCATCTACATGAAGAATAATGTTAGTTTGCTTTATAAACTATGGTCCAAAAATGTTTCCTTACAAAAACTCGGGTTGTTGAAGTTTAGGAAAAAAAAATGGAAATTTTAATATTATCAGAACCACTTCAGATATTTCACTGATATTTAGTACGTAGTGAAAGTTAATAAAGCTACATTTTTTTTAGCTTTACCAGTAGCGTGCGTACGGGTATTAACTTCGATATTTGTTAAGAAAAAAATGGTACGCCAATAGTTTTTTGCCAAATAAATATTGTTATAGAATACCACGTTCAATTCAAAACAAATGATCTCTCTTGAGTTGCTTTCCTTAGATGTGCCATTTTTGAGAGAAAAAGTAAAAACCGTTCTATTGTCTAACTTGCAAAATTATTATTAATTTAATTGGAAAAATTAAACACATTAGGAGTAATGGACAACAACTGACAACATAGACATAATATTAAAACCAACGAAATGATTACAAAAATTGTTGAAAATGGCCCCCTTCACTTAGTATGCATGCTTCCGCCCTCCTTCTCATGGAATTGCGCACTGGTTGAAACATCCCTGGAGTGCTTTTTATTCTATCACAAGCTGCAACTATTCTTTCTCTTAATTCCTCTACATTGTTAATGGGACTTGTATACACTAGTGTCTTAAGATAGCCCCACAAAAAGAGATCTAAACTGTTGAGGTCTGGGGACCTTGGTGGCCATTCTTGGGTCCCACGGCGGCCAATCCAACGATTTGGATAAACAGTTTGTAAATAACTACGAACCGCTATACTGAATTGCGCTAGTGCACCATCATGCATGTACCACATATTGTTTCTTATTGCTAACGGAACATCATCAAGCAGCAAAGGCAACTGTTGTTGAAGAAAATTGAGGTAAGTCTGTCCGTGAAGTCGTCCCGGCAAGAAGAATGGGCCCATAAAGTGGTTGCCAATAATTCCTGCCAATATGTTAACTGAAAATTGGTGTTGGAAATGGGTTTCGATTACTGCATAGGGATTTTCTTCTGCCCACAAATAATTATTGAGGAAATTCTGAATGGCATTTCGAGAAAAATTAGCTTCGTGCGTGAACAGAATCATTGATTCAAATTGCGGATCTTGTGTAATTTTTTGAAGATACCACTGACAAAAGGTCACACGCCTTGAAAACTGAATGGGAAGTAATGCCTGTACTCTTAAAATATAGTAAGGATATAACAAAAAATCACTTGAATATGTACCGCCTCGCGGTCGCAGTTACGGCAGACTTGTAATGTATCAGACATAACCATAAAAGCTGCCTGTTTCTGGGGTAACATCTTTTGATAGTCCCCCAAGTAACATATGAATTTCAGCTTTTATACGATGACGAAAGTTAAACTCCAAAATTTATTAAAGTTTCCTGGGTATCTGGCAGGGTTTGAAAGTGTACTAAGTGCCTGGCAATGGATGAGGTCATTTCTAATACCATTCTGAAAGAAATATAAAAAATTGAGCTCGTCACTTCAACGAATTTGAGGTACTATCTTAGACATCTTTGCTATCTTTTACCTGCCAAAATAACCACCTTCCAAATTTTGTAGTCGCTGATTACAGTCTCCGATTTGACAAATCATCTGCTTCTATAAAAAATTTTCATGTTCGATCTCAACCCTTGTGACTGGGATTCCTGACATCAATTGCAACTTTAATGCACCGGAATATGGGACATACAGTCTCAAAATTGGAGAGTCGAAATATCATAAGGTACATAAGAGAAAATGTCTAGAAGGTCTATATCTTTGAAAATTATCCATCCCTGCGCACAGTCGTACCGAATTTCGGAGACAGGATGATCTAGCTTATACTTTTGACTAAAGTTGCACTTTTGGTGTCCGAGAATTTGTGAAATACTATCTCCAAATCGAAAAATGCATTACAACGATAGAAAAGAAAATATTGAAAAGTCTGTTTCTTTGGTAATATTTCATGTTCAGTCTGGCCGATTCTGGGTTACAAAATACAAAAACTTATATATAGAAGTGACTTTATTGGTAGTTTATGTACACTACAATGTGTAAGATTCAGTCCGAACTGAACAATGTAGATGACAATAGCAGAGATAATATTGTTATCTGTTTTTGTGGAACTCATTCAGGTTCGGTCTAACCGATTTTGGGGTACAGATTTTTGTAGCTTATATAAATGCCTCGAGCTGCAACTTCTGTGTACTGGAATTGGTGAGATGAAGTCTTCCAGTTGGGAAATGTAGATAAGATATAAGAGAAAATTTCACAATTTATTTGATATTTCTTGATAGCTGCAACGCAGTCTCACCGGGTTTCGAAGACAGGTAGTTCCTACTAGGATCGATGACTTAAGTTGCACCTTCTGTGTACATGAATCTGAGAAACGCAGTCTCCGAAGTGAAAAATGTAGGTAACGATAAAAGAGAAAACATCGAAGGATTGTATGTCTTTAGTAATCCATTATAACTTTAACAGAGAAATACTCAGTTTCACCGGCTTTTGGTACTTAGAATATTGATGCATACCTGGCTGCAATGTATGTGTACCATAGTCTGTGAAATACTCACCGAAATGAAGGATGAAAACATCTTTTTCTGGACAACGTTAGTTAGTATGCAGTCTTATTGAGGTTTAGTGCACTGAGTGGTGCAACTATATGAATAATTTTAGTTGCCACTTTTGTGAGCCACATTCGGTGAGGCACGGTATTTGAATTATGAAATATAGATTATACTAGTTCCAAATATGTTTCTTTTGTGATCGTTGATTGCTGTTATACCTAGTCTAACCGACCTTTGCGTATCAGAATGTTGTAACTAGATATACTTAGTTGTACCTCCTGCATAGCAGAAGCTGTGAGAAACAGTCTTCAAACCAGAGGGAAACGTGTTACAGCTTCTTGGTACCATACTCCGTGAGAAACCCTTCGAACCCAAGAAATTCAATGACGCTATAGAATAGAGGATTGCTTCTCTGGAGAACGATAGTCGCACCAGCTTATGATATGACTGATTGTTTGTATCTTGGATAGTTGCTACTATATGCACGATCTTAAATCCCGCTTCAAGGTACCACATTCTGTGAGGTACAATCTTCGAGTTGGGAAGTGTAGATAACGATAGAAGAGGAAATACCGAAAAGGTACGTTTGTTGTAATATTTTATCGTTGTTGTACAAACATGAATGTTTAGGCTCGCCAATTTTGGTAAAGGCGTTATATCTAGATGTATGACTTCAGTTGCAACTTATGTAGTACATCAACATTTTAGTGACACAGTCTCCGAACTGAGAATCGTCAACATCGTTAGAAGATAAGTTTCACCGACCTTAAGATGGGCACAGGATGCAATTAGATGTACAAGTCAGTCCACTGTGAACATTTGTGTGAGAAACGAACTGAAAATGGAAACAGCGTTAGGATCGATAGGACTGTTTGTTCTAAATTTGTTCGTCTGAAACATGTAATAATAATAAATAATCTTTTTTGTTTTTGGCCTCTTTCTCTGCTGCCACTTGGTCGGTTTTCAAAAACTAGCCTTTGCGTCCTTGCAGTGTAGCAACATTGTCTTAAAATCTCATTAAAAGCCGAGCGGTACTTCTCAAGTTATAGGCGGTTATAAGATTAGCCGACAGACCGACGGAAATGAACGAAATGGTTCTTTATGATGTACATGTCATACGACTATGATATCCAAAATACATAATATCTTATTTTAGGTTAGATTGGTTTTTGCGAAGCGAACGGCAGATCGGCAGGGCTCATTGTGGAGGGTCAAAAATAAAGATTTTTTTTCGAAAAGGCAGAATGATGAAGAACTAAAATGAAGATTGAATGAGAATGAGAAAATGCTGTAAAATAAGTGAAAGAAGGGTCCATTTTGAAAAGCACTGTGTAGTCGATATTTCCGTAGTAGGTACATTTGCTGTCTAGAAGCTGCTTGGTAACTGTATGTTTTAAGATTGATATTGTATCGAAAAGGTATTCAAATATGACTTATTATTCGTACTTCGATCCTATTCTGGAAATATGTAAACTTGCCCAGATAGATCGGAACTCTTTACAGTGTTTCTTTGAAAATGGGTTCGTAAAGTATTATGTTCTGCACCAGTTGGCCCCTCCAAGAAAAAACATTAAGGGGATCAAGTTATTCAAACAGATTCATACAATTAAGATTTGCATACTTTACTTTCTCTTTTTGTACAATTTTGGAGCTCTTTAGGAGTTGGCTACACGAGAAAATATGCTATTCCTCGTGCTTCAGAAAGTCTTGGAGGTAGTATTGCTTTCACACAAAAGTTACCTCTTGTCGATGGATGGCCCTCCTCTTTCCTCTGAGAATTCACAAGGCCGCATATGCTGCTACAAACTTGCATCGTCATAGTTTTCACTAGGTTATGTTCGTTTCAAGAGGGGACAAAAGACACCTAGTTCCGACTTTGTCTCTTATTGTAATAAAAATTCTTATTCTGATCCCTTGGGATAAACATACATTTGAGTTCTCATGCACGCATAGTGAAACACCACCTGTCAACTGTATAGCTTGGGCCTTACAACAAATAGTCATAAAATGTATTCAAATATGATTTATTATTAGTCCTTCTATCCTAAACTGGAAATATGTCAACTTGCGCAGATAGATCGAAGCTCCTCATACTGCTTCTTTGGATTGTATGTTTTAAGATTGATTTTGAGTTGAAAATACATTCAAATATGACTTATTATTTATTAGTACTTCGATTCTCTTCTGGAAATATGTGAACTTGCCCAGATAGATTGGAGCTCTTTATTGTGTTTCTTTGGAAATGGTATGTTTTCAAGATCGATGTTTATTTAAGATATGAAAACTAATTTAGTAAGCGCATTTTAGGTATCTTACCTACAAAAGAGTCGATTGAGCCCTGCAAGGTGAATGGGCGATGGGCATCAAGAGCAAATAAGTAAAAATAGGTATAAAATTGACAAATAGGCTTTTTATCGTACAAAAATACAAATACTGCACGTTTCAGGTTAAGAAAGAGATGGAGAGACGGAAACAACGAAATAAGGAATAAAACTGGAAAACTGATGAATTGTCCTGTGTAAGATATATTTTGATATTTTGAATAAGAATTTTTGTAGATATTCTTACTCAGTGAAGGTTTTGTATACTCATTCATGAGTTTGAGTGGACGTAATGTAAAACCATCTCACCCATTTCCGTCGGTTTGTCTGTTTGTCCGGTAATCATTGGAACCTGTATAACTTAAGTAGCACCTGTTGGATTTTGATGAAGTTTTGTCACAACCTTACTGCTAAAATAATAAAAATCGTTCGTTTCAATGTACTGCTCATTTTCGGAAAAACATTTTGAGCGGGTTATTGTAAGAGGTCAAGCGTATCCTGATGTTTTATTATGAACCATATTCCTCATCGTGTAGGGATGCTTATGTGCAGCCTGTTGATGCACGAGTATCCAACACGATCTAAGTCTTTAAAGCTCCTTATACCGCCGAGGTGTAAAAGCTTCGCCAGTGTTACAGATCACTCTTTAAAAAATCATCTATTGAGCCATTTCCAAGATTTCAGGTAAGAGATAGCTGTTGAATACGATAAATAGAAATACAAATTTTGAACGTCTATGGGAATCTAACGGAGAGTTCATATAAGCTCTAGATTCAGAAGATTGACTAAATAATTGAAGTTGAATCAACCAGTTTAGGAAATATGCCACATAAGCACATTTGAAAATAATGATCTGCTAAATTTTGTTTATTTGCAAACATAATAAATATTTGATATGATCTAGAAAGTAAAAAGTGTCTGGAAATCGTTTTTTTTAGGTACCTTTTAAACGACACTGTATAATTAATCGAAATTTTGTCAGCTTCGTAAGCAACTGTAGTTTGATTTGCTGGTGTTCACGGAAAATCACAGACTCACTTATAACATGAGGGGCTCACTAGCTCTAGCGCAATGTTGCCAACATTTTTTATTTGTAAAATAACCGATATCCAGTAGCGGCTAGCGGCCATTACGGCCCTGTATCTCCCTAATAATGAACTTGTGGTATTCTCTTTTTGTGTTCTATTTGTATACGAGAAGTTGACATATTCTGATACTACACTGCATACACATTTTGATGACCTCATTTTATTATAAATCTTATAAATACTTCAGATAGTGACGAATAAGGGTATAAACCTTTTTGTGACAGTTCAACGTATAGTTTGCACTCTACTATATGAAGACTTTACATGACCTAAGTTAATGAGTATGGCAATTATTCATCTTAGACGTTTTTGAAAATTTCAAACATTTATTTTTACATGATGTAGGACTTACTGATCCGATCATGACGTTTCCCTAGCAATCTGACGTTTTGATAACAACAATAATGAGGAGATTTTCAATCATTTTTAATACAATATACTAAATATTTTTTTTAGAAAATGATGACGGAGGTCGAAGAAGTAGATGCTCCCAGGAGGTTATGTTCTGTTATATTTGAATATCAATACCTTAATCATACAACCGCTGTTTTAGTAACAGAACTATACTTCAGGTAAGTAATGTACGTTTCTGAAGAATTCAACACTCTTTTGAAACTAATAAAAAATTTATAATTTTTAAAAGTAAAATCTAATTTATCTTAGATGTTTTGCAAAATTTCAAAGATTCATTTTTTACATGACGTAGAAAGCTGACTGATTATATCATGACGTCTCTCTAATATTCTGATCATCTTTAATATAAAATACCATACAACATTTGTTTCAGAACATGATGAGAGAGATCGAAGAAGTAGATGCTTTTAAGACATATTTGGACCATGTTCTATGATAACTGAATATCAGTCCCGTAATCAGACGACCAGTGTTCTAGTAACAGGACTTTATTTCAGGTAAGTTGTGTACTGTTCGCAGAAGTCAGTCCCAAAAATTATTCACATATTTTAAACAACGCTATTAAAATTATATTGTTAAATTAGAAACGCACCTGAAGAATTGCACACATTTTTGAAACTAAAATACAAAATTCTGGAGCATCTAATTTGTAATGATGTAAACACAGTAACAGATTCTTTCGTGATGTTTCACCTACTAACGCTTCTGGCAATAGTAGCAGTTAGACGGGTAGCAACTATTTCAGCTGAACTACCTTTTAAAAAAATATATATAATTTATCTCAGATGTTTTGAAAAATTTCAAGCATTCGTTGTTTATATGGTGTAAAGCTGACTCACTGATTCTATCGTAACGTTTTCCTAGCAGTCTCATATTTTGATATTAATAATAATGAGGAGCTTTTCAATCATCTTTGATACAAAATACTATACAACACTTGTGTCAAAATATCTTTAGGAAGATCGAAGAAGTAGATGATTTTAAGATATCTTTAATGTTCTAGTATATCTGAATGTCAACACCTTCTTTTAGTACTAGAATTTTAATTCGGGTATATTATGTTCTCTTTGTGTCTGCTAGTCTCAAAAATATTTAACGAACTTAAAACGCTCAAACTTTGATCTTGATGTTTCAGAGGTTCCTTATCTTTTTCAGGAAAAAAATTGTTGGCGTACTCAATATAAGTAAACAGTTTATAAATTTTAATTACACCAGTTTCCTAGATCTAAGTAAACTGATTTATGAATTGGAGTTCAATTAAACTAATGAATCTTATTAGCAGTCAAATGGTTAATTCAATTTTTAATTGAACTTATTAAAATTTTTCTTGATTTAATTAAATTCTGCTTATCTGCCAATATGATTTATAATATTACCGATAAAAATCATACAGTTTTGTTAATAATGATGACCTGAGCATGGTTAATTAGGTAGCAGGCACAAAACACATGGGATTTGACCACCGGTCAATTTTAAAGAAAATTCATGTAGTGATAGATCATGTTGTGCAATAAACAAATTCTGAATACAAATTGTATAACAACTGTTTCAGAAGAAAATGAAGCAAATTGGTAAAATGGATGCTCAATTGCAAGACATTTCAGGGAAATATCAGCACCTAAGGATGAAAGTAAATGAAGGCAAGCCAAATGATTATTCAGATCAGAAATATCGTTCACGTAACTGTCTGAATATGTTGTTCATGAAGCAGCTCCAAATGATGTAGAAAGCAGGAAAACTGGTCCTATGATAACAGTTTGCCACCACTCACGCTGATGAAATAGTTTAAAGCTATAGCTAACATTTCGCATTTTTCAATATAGTAGATACAAAATGTCGTTAACCGTTTCAGATAAAAAGAAACAACGAGTGTACTAGAAAGACCGAGGATCAGTTGTAAAATGGACAATATTATATTACATCCAAATATAAATGCGTAAAGATGAAAATGGGACACTGTTGGCTAGGAAAACTGTATAAGACAACTGCCGTATCGACATAGCAATAGTTTAAGTGAGCCAGCTGTGAGAGATATAGTATTGAGCATTTTTGGTTATAGCTTGGTTTCATAAAAATATTTCACGCAATTTAAAAAGAGTTCGTTTTTACGTAAAAAATAAATTATCGGTTTAGTAATTTACGGTCCCGGTGTATATGGGGAACGAGCCTTTGTTGTTTGGGCGCCCTTATGGATTCTAGCGTCAAACTAACATTGGATTTGGAATCGAAGCATCCACTTCACTCAAGAATTGGCGTCTCGGATCACAGAGAACCAGGGGTTTCTTGTTTATGATACTATTGAAATCTCCACCCAAAATACAGAGCACATTTTTTTAACGAAAGTTTCTTGTTCCTACACATTATGTTGTCATACAATGAGGTATAAATTACGAAAAATGATCTAGTGTGTTACACGATTACTCATTCGTCGTTCTGACGAAACATTGTTATATATAATTACACGATCAAACGAACTTACCTGTAAGTGATATTCGATCTTAATTATATGAAGTCCTCGTCGAAGTAAATATTTAGAATATATATCGTAGTAGTCTCGTAGTAGTAGCCAACCACCACCGCATCCCCTCTCCCTACTTTTCTCCCCTCTGGCCGCCTATAAACCTTCATTTACTTCAAAGCCAAGTTGTTGCAACGATTGGCTGATACATAGGGAGAGAGGGAGCTATTTACTTCGACGAGGAGTTCACATAATTAAGATCGAACATCACTTACAGGTAAGTTCGTTTGATCGCGTAATTATGTTCTGTCCTCGTCAAAGTAAATATTCAGGATGTGTATGGTAGATGTTCAAAGCTAGTTGCAACAACATACTACTAACGCTCTGCTATAGTAAACCATGGTTGTACACAACTACACCAATTATACGCAATGCATGTGTCAACTAAATGTACATTTCCATTGTAACAATCCAAGTTAAGGCTTTCAGCAACAGGTAATATGACGTACCTGGTTCAAAAATTACTATCCATTTCATGGTAATGAGCAAATAACGTAATAACATAGTTATGTTTAAGGTGTGGACACTTGGTTCACCTCAAATGCCGCTTGAGTAAAGCCATTGTTTGGCATAAGAGATTTGTGACGTATCTCAGAAAACGCAGACCAGCCCGCCACGAGCCTGAGACTACTATAAATTAGCAGGTGGAGAGGTAGATGCATTTCATGTACTGTGGGTTGTCAATTGTGACACTCTCTGCTAAAACCGACTTCATCCATCTGGGAGCCGAGGCACCATGATAAAGTTACTATACAGTGATAAATAAATGCTTTGCACAGATATTTGGGCATAAAATACAGTAAAACTTAAGTGGTTGCCACATGAGTGACCCCGAGACTTTTAAAAACTGAGAAATCCCAATATCAGTATTATTCAACCCAATCCGGATGTTGTCTGTTTCAACTAGTTTGCACAGTCTGACCTGAGGTTGAAGCTAGCAGTGTTTCTCATTTCCTCATCCAAATATCTACAGAGCTTACTAGCAACCCTTTTGGTTGGTTGCGAACAACCACAGTGACTGTATTTCAGTTGAGATGGCCTCAGCCTGTAAATGCCCTTCATAATCCATCTTATGTCTGCATCGTTAGTAACATTTTGGGTTAAAGACTGATAGCTCAAACAATTATATCTTGATCTCTTATTACCTGTAAGGTAAGAAATTTCAAGGTAGGAAACCAGACATG